TATTAGAGGGTTCTTCTGCGTGGAAGATTCTCAAAACTTGTAAAATGCCTAAGTACAAGCTTCATAACAGCTTTGTGTCAAAAAATTGCTTTTTTATTCTAAGAATAGGTGGCAAGTCCATGGGAAATTTCACACAGTTTTTATAATGCTGGAATTTCCTATGAAGTTTTTGTTTGGTTCTTGCAATATGTTTTCAGCAAGAAGTCTTTGGACAGGGCTTTATTTGGCAGTTTTTCTTGGATGTCTAATGTCAGTCTATAACAGAAACAAGTTATCAGGTGGACCTGAAGAAACTGCGGTTCAACATAAAGACTCCTTGGTGTGTTTGTTAAGGAAACATATTTGTATCTGGTTTAGAAATGTTTCCTGAGTGTTGACCAAGGCTGCACACCCTGAGCAAGAGCCAGGCTTGGACCCAAGGCCCAAGCACTCGCACATATGACTGTTTAGGGCTGCACCCACACAGAGTCTTTCATGAGAAGAACGACTCTTTTCTGACAGATTTTACCTTACAACAGGGAACTTTTTTCAGCCAACCAGCAGCAAGGAGATGTTCCCCTTCTGTCAGAAGACCTTTGTATGGGTCTCCTCACTGTCATGTAGACCCCAATACTTTTTTAAGCATGAAAAGTCAGAGCCATCAACATTTTTGTGGCAAGGCAGATGAGTGTCATGTATGTAGCACATCAACCGCAGGTCCAGTAAAACAAGCAAAGGAAGAGCTAAGCCACCACCGTGGTTTTTCTTTTTCCCTATGCACATATAGCCCTGCCGGCTCCTGAGAGGGAGGAATGTGAGATGGCTACCAGGAAAGCACAACACTCCTGAGGGATAAGATGGCAGCCAGAGGCTGCTTCCTCTGTTTCAGTAGCGCTAAGGTGTGCGTGCAGGCACAGGGGCTATTTAGCAGGCTATGGCTGACCTTCATTCCCCTGTTTGTGTCACATCCATTCTGTTGTAGTCAACCTTGCCTTCTTTCAAAAAAAGGGTCTTTTGTATGCTTATTAACACTGTTAGCACTGGCTGTTTTCTAATTCTGGATAATAATTGCAAAACTCTAATTACTGTAATTACTATGCTCCTGGGGTGAGGTTTTATTTTTTATAATTATTTCTAGCAATTTTTTTCGTAAATACTTTGTTATATTAAAAGCATGACAGACAATCATGAGTCCTTGCAGAGCATTTATGTATCAACCACCTCCACTGAATTCCATCAGCGCATTTCACAATTTATTAATCAGATATCGCTAAATTTCTTCCGCCTCAAGCAAAAACAAGGAGTGGGAGAGAAAGTGACTACTGACAAATGACAAATGATGTGACATGCCAGGTTTGATTCTGCCAACCAAGTATTAGTACCAGCCCAACAAGAGCAAAGATGGAGGTGACAGCTAGATGGCACAATCGAATATATTCTAAATCTTCCCAGAATAACTCTTTAAAGGGGAAAGAAATGTTTCAATGCATGCAAACATTGAAACACTTCAAGAAGCAACATGAGACTTTGGCCAGTACATAAACCCCCTTGATCCAGTTCCTAATGGTTTCCACAAAAGGATCCAGCTTTGCCTTTTGGAGTCTGTACTCCAGAGCAGTCTCTTGGAGTAAGCAAGGTGTTCTCTTGTGTCTGTTTTCTCATCACCCCTACACTGGTGGGATAAAAAGGTTTGTTTCTTCTAGAATAATCCACCAGATTATGTGAAACCTCTCAGGAAAAGATGTTGTCTGAAATTATACTACTATCTTCAGTTGCTCTAGCACTCACAAGCATGAACATGGAGGCCTCTTGCATTAATATAATCCAAAATACATTATTTTGAAATAGCCTGTTGTCACACTGATGTATTTTTCTGAGTCATGGTTTTGCTTTTTACCTGTGTGTAGTTTGAAAAATTATGATTCTTGCACTAAAATGTAGGTATATTATACTATTAATTACTTTTCATTCCCTTTTTGTGAACTTCATTGTGAGTGGAAAGTTGTTGACCCCAGCATGAAGAAGACAGAGATTCTTTTTCGAGGCTGCTTCAAGGGATGCTTATTTGTTAGTTTTTTTGTACAAGTTCTTTTGTCAACCTAGGCCAATCTTAACTAAAAACCACTTCATCATCTGTTATCAAAGAACTGTTCATGCAACTCAGCAATGATTTTTCTAAATGACTGTGAGACCTCATTTAGAGTTTTAATAAACAGTCACATTCTAATGAGGTCTTCATAAAACTGACTAAATATGTTTAGAAATCATTAGCTTAAATTACCAGTACAAAAGTCTCCTTAGGGAGCCCTGCCGATTTTGTGATAAGACTTCTGGCAGATGGATTAGTATAACAGCACAAGCGAGTTCTGAATTTCCACACAAGCAGTGTAAATGTGAGTGACTGGGTAACAGGCTACTAGATAAAGAGCTAAATGTCCCTCAGGTGGGTTCATTAAAGAGAGAAAACAATCAAAACACATTTCTTTGCCATTTAAATACCAGGTGCACAGCAGTCTGCAGGTGCCAGAAACACTGACAAGGGTCCCTTGCTGGAACACACAAGAGCTTAAAGGCATGCATGCTTTTGACAAGTATGCCTCAGATAATGACAGATATTGGCAGATGTACCCGGACCCTGCTGGAGGGTAATGCGGGGACTGAGTCATTTGCAGCAGGTGCTTGCATTAGGGACAGCCTCATGGTGATTCCTCCATCCGCAATTAAAACAGGCCTGATGCATAATGCTCCAGGGCAAGAAGCAAGTTCCTAGCACTGATTTAATGACTATCCAGCCAGTCCTGGTAAACAAATACACGTACGCCCCCTCAATGATTAATTCATGAAGGACGTACACTGTGTGGCAAACATGTTAAACAGATATTCCTCTTTCCTGAAAATATAAGGAAATTTTCCTCCTCGGCTTACAATGGGTCAAGAGGGTTAAAAAATAAAAATAATAAACCCCTATAAATCTTACACCAGCAATAGCAATTGAAATAGCAAACCTCAAGGTTGGGAAGGTTACAAGGTTTGCCCTGCAGGACAGAGCTTGTGTTAGGGGTTGCGGGACAGATGGTGTGTTTGTAATACGGATCCTTGTTGCTGATGCGTCTAGCTCTGGGAGCGGGACAGAAGCACCAGCGGAGGAGGAACTGCATTGTTCTGTGGCTCATACGATCTCATTTCCATTAAAAGCTCATTTCAATTTCTGCTCTCTGATCTCACCTACGTTGGCCTCCAGAGAAAGGGAGAACAAAGTCATTTCTAGCACTGCCAGAAACAACAAAGCCGCAGATTTGTATCCCACGAGGACTCTTGCACCCTGAAGAAATCTCCGTGGTGGCACAAACTGTTGCTTGCTGCTAAGGGAATGTGCTGCCTACCTAAACGTTGGGAGTGGAGGCTGCCAACGCTGGCACCGAGACTGGTGTCTCCCTGGCTGATACCTGACAGCTCGCTCTAATTGATGCTTTCAAATACTGACTTTAGGAAAACAGTATGTGGTTTCATGCAGTATGCTGGTTTTGTACTGAGGCTTGTTTATCTGTACCCTGAAAACATCCATTTTAAAGTTGTGTGCTTGGGTACTTATGAATGTGTATAAAGCTTTAACGAAGAGGTTTGCTGGAGAGCTTCCTCTTCTTACAAATCCATCCGTTTTGAATTGATATGTGACCATCCAACTATTTCTACCTTATTCTTCACTCAAGGGACTGAACTGTTAAAGCAGCCTCCATGAGCCTGTTTTGTCTCTGCAATTAGTCATACATGTGTTCCTGCAGCAGGTGTTAATTGCAGTCACAAATCCCATCTTTTTTATATCTAAAAATAATACTGGCACCTGATCTGTTGGCAGGCTTGGGCACACACATATATAAATGTTAGGATTTATATTAACAATTGACAAAGGACATAAGGAAGAATAAATTGAGATTGTAAAACTGGACTTGCTAAAAAGGAGATGAGATCCGAAGCTTTGACTCACGCCATGTAAACAGGGCGCTCTCTCCTCATGGCAATGCCACGGGGCAGAGGGGTGTCAGTCACTCCACCAGCGTGCAATTCAAAACATCTCTTAAAACCATGTGGCTCACACCAAGATACGTGCACTTGACTTCTTATTTCAATACTTCGATTTACAATAAATGCAGTAGTTGCAATAAAAGCAGAGGGTTTTTTTCATTCCGAATGAAAGCTATATGCCCAGTTTCCAAGCAAATTTTCTTGGAATAAACATCCCAGATGAGAACTAAGACACCAGTGCATAGACAAAGTAGTAAATTAAAAGACTTGGTTATTGATGGTTGTGAGAAACAAAGAAAGTGGTTCCATTCAATACTTGCTGAAAACAAAATTAGCCATAATGACTTGGGTAGGAGGCCTACTGTAGGAGTTATCAAGCAAAGAAAGAAAAGTACACAGTATCAACCAGGTAACTCAAGCTTTTTTTTACTACTCAGTTCCTGAAGAAGACCTCCTGGTCAAGAAATGTAGTCTATAAATGAGTAAAGTTAATTTTTTGTTTTAGTCCAGAAGGCTTACAGGAAGGAAAACCCAAGCAAAGCAGGTTGATTTAGACTAATGTATTATGAAGAAGGTGGAATTTCATACTTTAACTACTTTTCTCAGAAATCTGTTTCAGAATGACTCCCCCTCAGCCTCCCTTAAGAAAAAGATGACTGCATACCTTGTTCCGTAACTAAGTCCCTGGTTTCCCTTAATAGAAATGGTATGTCTGAGATATATACAAAGATATGACATTTTCCCTCTTTGGCAGTCTTTGCAGGCTGTGCTGTATAGAATGCAGCTTTATCAGTTACTTTTTCATTGTGTTAATGTTATCAAAGCCAAGCATCCAAGGCATGTTTAAAAATAATTGATAATGAACCTCTTAGCACAGGCAGTCATAAATATTTTATGTGCTATACTCAGTATATAAGCATTTTGTTGGTCTGCTATTTAATTTCCAAAAGCAAACACCTTGGAAGTCTTTCATCTTTTTAAGTACAAAAATCACTTACCCTTCCCACTTCTACGAGATTAGTAACCATGATTATGCTGGCTGTGTTCTCATGCCATACCATTCTCCAAAAGTCATATATTGTCTCCTGCATTGGTCCTGAAACAATAAATCAAAGGAAAGGTTACTATTGGAAAGTCTGAAGATTGGAAGCTTGTCTCTGGGGAACTTTGAGAAACCATGCCTATACACATATATTCATATCACTACCATCATATTTTTCATTTAGGGTCAATTTCTTTTCTGTCATCCCACCTTTCTGCATTTAAGTATTTTTCCCCTGAAATAGTGCTCTGGAAGAAAGTTAGTTCTCCAGCATTTAGGTATTTATCTCTGTAATACCCAGAAGTGGAATTATAAAAAAATGGATAACATTACTCTTTCTCTTAACAATTGGATGATAACCTAGGGAAGGTGTATTTGGAATGAAATGAGCCTCAATGGACTATGTGGCCTTTCCTGGTTTCTAATATTTTTCTTCGTATACACTATCCATCAAATTACCCCAGCTCCTAAATTGTACTTCCTGAAGTGAGACAGAAGTTAAAGGTTTTTGCTGCAGTATATCACTCTGCAAAAGCAAAAGCGGGGAAAGTGGTAAAGAACCCTGGTGTGCCATGGCAGCCATGTCCTCTGCATTGCTTTCTCCAACAACTTCTGCGCTTTTGTAGACAAACATACAGGGCTTTCCCTAGCATCGTGCTAAAGCTGGGTATCAGCTCACAGGAAATGTTACAGAAACATAAAACGTTGAGAACAACCACATTGCTTTGCGTATGCCTGGTCCTGTCTGTTTCTAGCCCGCACGCCTTACCCATGATGTTCAGTGTGCCACCCTGATTTTAAACCACTGCTTTAAAATCACTGAGCCAATAAGAATAACAAATGTCTCTTCCAACCAGGTACTATAAACTTAACATCCATATTGAATCCATCACTGCCATGCTGCAGTAAGCAATTAGTGACTTATTTGGAGGAATGCCTCAAATCAGCTAATTGGAGGACAAATGGATAATGTATTGGCCTAAATGTTCCTCTAGTGAAGAAAAGAACACTCTTAAAGCATTACAGAACCATACATTGACAGATTTGGGTAGTTTGGCACCCATGTTTTTGTACTTTGAGCTCCCTTTGAAAAGAAGCTTTTCACTCTAAAAGTCAAGTACTTAGTGAAAGATGAACTAATATTGTGGCAGAGCGGTTGGACTAGATGATCTTTGAAGGTCTCTTCCAACGCAAACCATTCTGTGATTCTATGACTTTGTGATTCTATGATATTATAGGCAAGTCAAACCCAACTCACTAGGCAAATAACACCACAGCTACGATGTAACTTACTTAGAACTCAAGTTTAAGAAGAAGGATGGTAACAGCCTAAAACTTCTGAATTTTTAAAATTTATTTTTATTGTCAGCAATTTCAAAGGATAATTTTAGCATCCATAATGTGCATAGACCATTTAAAGAAGTTATATGTTCTCCCCCTTACTTTCTCTGCTTTTAAAAATACTGCATATATAGTTAGTTTCACAGGTTTCCCTATAGTCACTCCACTTGTCTTTTCCTTGCTCTGGTAGTTGATATAACAGGAGAAAAAGCCATTTAAAAGAACAGAAAGGTATGACTATTGGAACATAAGGAATGTCAGAAGGTCTCAGAGCAGAAATAACAGCAGAATCTAAAACTAAAGTTTCTAAAATTACCAAAGTCAAGATGATGTTGTGGCTGCAAAACTGGACACCTTTTTTTTTTTTTCTTTTAATTTACAGCACAGAACAGTTGATACTTTTGTGAGATTTCATTCTGAAGTATGACAAGAGTTAAATCACCCTCCATCATATGGAAATTTACAATAAGTACCTTACTTCTACATAAGTGTCCTGGATATGTAATACAGACATGGTCTGAGTGCAATTTTGAATGTCACAGTAAAATAATTAATACATGTTATAGTGAAAGTTTAGCTTCCTTGTGTTTTAATAATGTAGGATTCAATATAGCCTTTTGGGCAATTCAAGTCACAACAGCTTAGAAAGGTTTTGGGCCAACCTCTCCTACACGTAAATGGAAGGAGACTATCTTACTCACTGTAGGGAAATACTGTCTCTGTATAGCTCCCTCCTTCCTCTCAAATCTCAAACAAATATTCAGCAAAATTACTATTGCTATCATCTTTGAAGGAGTGCAGCTAAAAACAGAACTAGGGAAAGGCAGTTTTCCACAGAGCAGTGTCCTGGAAACAGTCTGGAAGTTCATGACACATTACTAAGATTATTTAAGCTTGATCAAGGACAAAAAATAATGCCACTGTTGTTTCAAGAATCTTGATTCACAGACTGGTTTAATGGAGAAAATCCAAATGGCTCCACTGCATTCTGTCACCACAGGATTATGTGATGTTTCAAGATTGTTCATCTGAATATGTTTTTGGTAAAGCTGCAGGAAAGGCGAGAAAAGATCCTCTGTCTACACAGCCAGAATCTTGCTATGTAGTAAGTTTCTTTATGTGTTATTTCAGTTTTCTTTCCTACAGGTTCACTTGAGATACAAGATGGTTGGGCCCGACTTTGTAACAGTCATTTCTTTTTGACAGCTCTGGGATAACCCGCAACAATTTATTCCTGATTTTTTTTTCTACAGACAACATAATTTGTCTCGTGACAAAGATTCCTACATTTCAGATCCTGAAATCACAAATTACAACTGGGGAGAGATCCTAAACACTAATTTCTTCCTGAAGATTTTGCATTTTTCATTCCTTAAAAAGAAAAAAAGAGATAATAAACGATGAGAAAAATAAATCTTGAGAAAAAGGAATAGCATTTTTCAGGCCAGAGAAAGAGCTGAGCTCTGACAAGTCTTTCAAGCTTGATTCCAAATGTTCTCCTAGAAGTAATGTCCTATTCTGCAGTGCTGAGTATGCTCTTCTCTATCTTACTTAAGACAATCACAATTAAAAGTGCCTGACAGGATTTTCTGCTCTTCTCAAGTATTCTCAAGTGTTTTCTCCCCTTTCCTCTCCAATTCTTACATGTAGCCTCCAACCATCTTTCACATTCAGGACACTGAAAGGAAAAAAACCACCCAAAAACCTACCTTAAAGTCTCAGAAAGTAATTCTTTTCTACCCCATTTTTCTTTTCTTCTTGACATTTTTCAAATTATTTTCTGACGTATGAATAAATTATTACTTGTCTCCAGCCAGAATTGAAAAGCATTAGAGGCTAGGTAGGGTTGGAGGATTTATTGTCATGAAGAACTGAACAATTTGATTCCAGAGACTTGTGGTAGGGAGAGAAAGAGCCTATAATTGTTCCAAGCATCAGCTTAACAGATGTGTGTACAATAGGCAGGAAGGTTATTCTCAGCAGTTGCCCCCTTGCGGGAGGAGAAGGGCTGAAGAGAAGGTTCTGTGCTGCCTAACAGTAAGCCTGCGGCGTACCCCATTAGCTACACAATATAGTAGTTGGTATCAAAGATTTCTGCTGTGAAAAAAAAAAAGAAATCAACAACATACTGCAACCAGAAGATGAAAAGTGAAGGAAAATAAGAAAAGGAAATCAACCCTCCAAACCCCAAGCTAATTAAATGCATTATTGAAAAATCTCAACAGAAATGATTGGCTGTATATATCACAACCATTAGTTGTATTACTAGTAGTTGTTCGTTGCTGCTCTGGGAATGCAAGCATATTAGGAAATGGAAAATCGCACAGCTTTTAAGAATGGTTTAAACTCTTAAGAAGCTACTTCTGTACACAGAGCTTTCCAGGGCTTCTATTTCTGTCTGTTATTGTGAGACCCAGTTCTAACAACCGGTATTGCTACTGGGGTATGTGATCAATTCAAACGTGATAAACTAGCCCAGAATAGAGGAAAATGTGTTCAGATGTAGGAAAGAAAGCAAACACAAAGAAACAAGTAAAATCTGAATCCTGAAATGTCCTCAGCGCTTACTCAGATGGGACTTGTAAATCTATGGGTCATTTTTCAATTTCTAGAAAAGCAAGCAGCTTAAACAAGGAACAAATAGCTTCTAAAACCTTTTTTCTAGCACAGAATGTCAAATCCACAAGCTAACGTTTGGTGCACCTGAGACCAAATTCAATGATAGATATTAAAGCTAGAACTGTGCAGAAAATGAACAGATAGCTTTAAGCTGCAAAGGCTCCCCAGGGAGGGTGCATGGGCAGTGGTAGCTGTTAGCATCTGTTGACAGAGGCAGCGGACTGACAAGATGCAAGACTTGTGTCTGCAGCAGTTAAATTCCATCTTGAAAAGAGCGCAATCAACCTCCTTCCAGCGAGCAGATGCGTCCACCCCACGTAAGGAGGTGGTTATAAAATGGTCCCCTCAACCTGAATGGTCACTGCGGTTTCTAGTAGCAATGGTAACCGTCTTCACTTCTTACTGAAGCAAAGCTTGCTGCTTGCTGTTATTGTGACTGCCTACAACACGACCACTCGAGGACAACTAGCTAATACGCCTGCCTAGGGGGAGCTGCATTTTAGCCCTCGTTCTTTACTATGTATGATCCTTTCAAAATGACCTTGAGATACAGTAAATGTTTCCTTATTAACAGGTACGGCTGCGTGGCAAAAAAAAGCCAACAAGCAATGACTCCCTTTGCAACTACACTGCCGGGAAAAACCTCAAACCCATTATGTAGCAGAAATTGTTCAAAATACACATGAAAGCATAAAGGAGAGATTAAAAAGAAAAAGAACCTGGGATAACAGACTACAAGTTAATAGAATACAAAGGTCAAGAATTCTCCTTTTCCTAATGAACCTCTTTAATGGGACAGACTAGCTGTTAGCAGGATAACTTACTGAGAGTTTCTCAGGAGGAAGCAAAACTGCAGGGTTACTAATGCTCTGCCAGTCCAGTGATCTGATAATCCATAAATGCATGTTATTTGCTCTTTTAACCATGCTAGAATTCGGAGGTAAGAACAAAATGCCTTTCAGAAAAAGTTATGTAAAAAACCACAGTTAAATGTTACTTTAAACTATAAATATCACTGACTGCAGGCAAGGGAACATCTCCCTTAAATGAAATACATTTTTTCCCTACTCAGTAAGGCAACATGCCCAAGATTT